ATAATGTATTAAATATCTAGATATAAATTACAAATGTCAAATGTATAAAAATGTAACATTATGAAACAGATCGATTACAACAATTGCACTATTTAAAATTGTTATTATACTTATAGCTTTAATAATGCCATGTTTATTTCATGATTTATTATTAATTAAGAAATATTTATCGCCTCCTCTTGACCGCCCAACTACAATAATTTAAGTTTGTAATCGTCCAGGTCACAAAGTGTATGAATGAAAAAAAAAAATATGATTGTTACTATTTTACGAATTGAGCAGTCGATTGTTATGTGGTTTATAGATATAGCGTTGTACTAGGAAATCAGGAGCGGGCCCGTGCCTGGGTGGTGACCTCGTGGCCGGGTGACCGTCGGCGGCAGCGTGGCGCTCACTGTCTTGCCCGACCCACATCCGACCGGTGGAGCGCCATTGTCTCTATAAACGCGCCACAGCTAAATGATTAGATACTTAGTCACAAATTGAACCCAACTGGCGCCGCCAGTTGTACTACCTATTAAAACCTTGAAACCTTTGAGACTAGGTATATCTAAAGTTAAATATAGGCACACAGAATAGGGAAGTACATTTACAATCGGTTTTCTTTGTCTAGGTCAATTGCTGTTGGGCAATGTATATTAAATTACAAAATTTATAGAAATCTTATAATACAAGAATTTGCAGGTGCAAAAGGGTGTACTACTATTTTTGTCCATATTGTAGAATTTTGTTATTGTTAGAATCCATGTTTATCTGCGATAATATTATAGGTACCTATATGTGAAAACAAATTAGAGGATATTCATATTATATGTAATAAGTTAAAAATTTATCTTCTCCATCAGAAAGTATATATGTGATATATATATATATATATATATATATATATATATATATATATATATATATATATATATATATATATATATATATATATATAAAAAAAATTGATTAGAATAATAAAAATTTTAAAAGTGGTAAATTTATTAAGTTTTTATTTAGAATTTCTAAATTTAAATTATTTTCAACTACAATTTATAATTGTTTATTATTCGATATAAGGTATACATGTATATAATCGTTGCAAATACTAATAGAAATTGCTCGCTCATCTCCCAGTATACCTTATAAACAATACATATACCTCATGTTTCGATTACTCACGCATGGATACAAGGCATGCACTCGATTGAACGTGCTCGTTTGCCTATAATAGATAACTGGCTTAGGCTTCTAGATAGCGCCAACATAGATCAGATTACTCCATTTCGAAGGTAAAAATGTTTCGACTATCCAGTGCGAATCATCTGATTTCTTGGAATAAAATGATTACTTGTTGACACAGTAAAAACTATACTACGCTAGCACCTAAATTGAAGCAATTGACTAATATTTTGTCCTTAGGTTTATAATAATTATTAAATTAATAATACACTATATTATAATAATATACTATAAAAATACATTTATATATATATATATATATATATATATATATATATATATTTTCATTCGTATTATAAAACTTGTATCTATATATTGTATGTTTAAAAAAATACAATGAATTTAATCATTCATGTGATAAAATTCAAATACTAGTCGAGGCTTTTTCATTCTTAACACGTAATTTAAACCGGTAGTTATTATATTAAAATTACAAAAAAGTTAAAGGAATACTTTGGAATAAAGATCTTAATAATATCTAAACTAATTAATTTCAAATTTTGTTTAAAAATACAATGAATTTAATTGTGATAAAACGTATATAGTCCAACACAAAAGTACTCCCCCTGCATAAAAAATCGACATAATGCATAAATGCATCATGATATTGCCAACGTTAAACACTTTTCCAAAAATAAAAACTGTGAGAGATTTTTAGGCTCCTTTTTTAAAGTAAACATACATATCATGGTTGTAGGTTTTCATGTTCATAGCCCCGTCGTAGCTTTTTTTATCTCATTTATGTCCCCATTAGGGTAGGCAAATGGAACGCCCCCGAAGTCACCAATTTGGTTTTTCCACAACAATCTTGAAGAACGCTCGTCGGTTACGGGGGCCAAATTTGGCCCTTCTTCAGGCGAATATTTGGTCGGTGTTCGGTCACCGTAATGGAATTTTTTGCTCAAAAATCTCACGGAACGATCCATCCTCTCCAAATGACCAAACCAACGCAAATTTTTTTCATTTTTTGTCAACATCGTCTCGTTTCTCTCTAATCACACTGTTTCGTGGACCACGGTTTTGCCACAAATTCTCAAAGCTCTCATCTGTACAGCATTTATCTTACTTTCATGCCTGACCGTTAAACGACGGTCCCCATTAACACAAGTTCGAATTCTTTCCACGTTTTCGTCGGAATGTCTCTGAACTGGAAACAAAGAACCTAAATATAGACGTCCTTTTTCAACGTGGGTCATCTTGAACCATTCTCGTCTTCTCTGAATCTTTTTCAGCCACTTGTGGACGGTTGGTTCATTCACAGCATCATCCCCATAAAAAGTTCTGAGATCGGCAAAAATTTCACAGAGCTCATTCTTGCCGAATTAGATCCTTTCAAGAGAAACTGTCCATAAATACGACGCCAAGCTGCTCTTCAACGGAAGCGGGCTCCATCCACAGGCATTTGAATCCTTATATAAAGATTTGAATGCCCGTTTCGTTAATACATTGGTGTTGACCACAGTTCATTCCTCTCACAGATGGCGTCAATGACAAAAACCTTCTGATGTTGAGCTAAGGTTTTCTCTGTTATGCCGCACGGCGGTCAGACCAGAACTGAATCAAATTGTTAATCAGAATCCTAGCATACAATTTGACAACACTAAGGAATTCCGGGCACTCCTGTTGTGACCCGCTGCCTTTATATAGTGGCACAATAACAGCTTTGCCCTGGAACACAACCGGACCGCCAACATTTCTCGCATTCCAGAACACTTTTTTATACGAACTTTCCGGACAGACATAATCTTCATTGCATATAGTCCAACATATCGAAATTATTTCATCAACTACTTAATGCATAAAAAATCTCTTCCAATGATCTAAGACTTCCTTTTGTTCCGTATAAAACATAAATGCATCATGATATTGCCTTATGGAAATTGTTAAACACTTTTATTAAAAATAAAAACTTGGAGATTTTTTAAGGTTTTTTTTTAAGTATTTGCTATAAACATACATATCATATGCACTAAAATATGTTATGGTATTTATGTTCATAGGGATACGTTTCGGTTTAAAGGGTAGAATATGGAAGTGAAGTTAAAAAGTAAGTAAATATGACAATATTTTAATTCTCAAGAAAAGCAACGCGTGGAGGTATCTATTATGGTGTCGTATTATATTCTGTGGTGTCTATTATACTGATCACGTATATAGGTGGTGACTGTTATTATTTTCCATCATGTGGGGCATCAGCTTGTTTGTTATTTCAATTCACCGCAAAGAAGACGCAGTTTACGGTATCTTCTCACTCTCAAGGCACTTCCCTTGAAAATAAGTCGAGTCTAGGGATCCTTGGCGTTGATACGAGTATATATAGCGACATCCAGTTTTGCGGTCATCTGAAGGAAAAAGCTCCAAAAAGTTAGGAGTGTTTAATAGAGTGAAACACTATTTCATGCCGTAACACCGCTGAAATTATATAAAACTCAAGTCAGATCACATATGGAATATGATTTTCACCAATGGGCAGGAACGCCACAGTACCAATTCCTTCCATTAGACCACATTCAAAGTCATGCGGCTTGAATTATTGATGATCAGCACCTAACTGTCCGACTCGACCCTCTGAAACTGTGTAGAGATGTTGCATCTCTGTGCATCTTCTGCCGAATTTATCATGAGGAGTGCTCTAAAGATTTGTTCGGATTGATATCTGCTGTTGATTTTCACCACCGTTCAACCCGCCATAAACTAAAGTTCCATCCCAACCATTTGGATGAGTGGCGATACTCCACCGTGCGTTTTTCAAGGCACTTTCTTCCATGCACAACCATTCTTTTGAAATCAGCTTTCAAGAGCAATATTTTCGAATCGATACGCCCATCATAACCTTCAAGAAATGAGCATATTCCTTAGGTTGGCAGCACACCTGCAATATTCGTACCTTCTGTGTTGCGGGTGATTATGGGCGACGATAGTCACTCACCATCAGGTGAGCCGCATGATCGTTTGCCCCTGTGTTATAAAAAAAGGCTCTCCTCATTCTTATGTACTTAGTTTATATTGCTATATTTTCAGCAATAATATACTACTACGAAATAATAAATGCTAACTAATAACACAAATGCGCACTTTACAAACCGTTAAATATTTATAACGATAAACATCGATCGTTATCATATATATAATCGGTAGCAATAACAGGACCTTCTTTCGACAATATTTATAAAATTAAACGCAATTGATTTATTGACAATAAACATGTAACAACTCTATCTATATAGAGTTTAAACTATATATAGATATTATATTTATTTATATAAATAAATGTCATATGTTTATTGATATTGCTATACAAATATTGTCAGCTAACAAACCAATATGAATATTTGTGGCTATCTAAATATGTTATTATCATGCCAATTTCCAATAGGAATGTAAATACTCGTATTTGTTTAATGCTTTCATAGTGATGACGTACTAAATCATTAAGATAATGTTATATTTATGTCAACTTATGATTCTAAAATTTAGTTTTTTTAAAATGTAAATATTTATAGTCTTTTTACCGACATGATGATTTTTGAAAAATAAGAAAGAAGAAACAGAATGATGCAAGGATCTATTATAATTATTATTATACAAAATAGATACCGACTTAATTTTGAAACTTACTATTTTTATTAACAACAAAAAGAGTTGCATGTAATTTTTAGTAATTAGGTATTTTAAATACTTTTAAATCGTAATAAAATACCAATTAATCCTTAAATGGAGATACATCTTGTTGTTGTTTTGCATGAGAAGGTATTGAATACATTAGAGGTAAAATCAGGTAAAGTAAAAAAGAGATTTTTCAATCTAGGTAATGATTTATTTTCTGTAATATAGGAGGTAACAGAAAGGAACGCGATGGGCATATGGCTAAATTAGCCTCATGAATAGTCACTATTTTTATATATTTTATACAATAAAAATAGCATTATGACATACTATTGTAATTTTTTCAAGAAATATATTAATATTTATAATTAAGGCACTTTGTACATGGCTTAGGATACAAATATAGGTTTTAATATGTGTATGACACCAGGCAAATGCCACATGACTAGCGATGCCGCATATAGCGCGACTAAAATATCTATAATTATGAACGTATTATAACTTATAACTAAGAGTTTCAATGTACAATATTTTCTTAAGAAATTAATAAATTCTCATTATATTGTGCACACGGAATGAGACTTTAACATGAATTTCCCACAAAAATAATTTAAATAATTAATAGAGTACTGTAGCGGTCGTCACTAAAAATGAAATTTACAACTATACGAGATCGATAATCTTATACAGTTCAGTCTTTTTAATAAGCATGAACAGTAGCCGCTGAGGGCAACGTTTGATGCGTGTGCGCCGACGGCAAGGCTTCTGGACGATATTCATAAGGAGTGCTACTAGGAGCCCCGCATCCACTTTCCAAGTGTTTGCTCAAGAGTGACATACGTGAAAATGTTTTTCCACAGCCTGAACATGAGTATTTTTTAACGTCCGAGTGAGTTTGTAAATGCGCTCGCAAGTTTGATCTATCCGCGAATGCACGTCGACAATGGTGACAAGAGAACGGCTTTTCTCCGGTATGTGTCCTAATATGTCCTTGTAGAAGCCAAGGCCTTGAGAAAGCTTTACCACACAGATGACATTTACACGGTAAAGTGTGAGTGCGAATATGCATTTTAAGTGCTCCTAAAGATGTATACACCTTCGCACAATACTTGCAACTGAATGACTTTCTAGCGAGACTGCCTTCAGCCGCCGCACAGTGATACTGTTGATGTTTTGAAAGTCCAGAGTAAGTGGAATAGGATTTTGCACAATCAGGGCACTGATAGCGAGGACGTCTCGATGTAGAAACTGAGACACCTGAATCGGAGGAGACGGAACCGGGTGATCGCAAATCTTCAGGGCATGGCGGTGGTGAACAAGATGAGGGCGGCGAAGCAGGTGAATAACGAGCGTAGAGTTGTGGATGCGCAGGAGGTGATAATGCTGGCGCGGCAGGGTACAGCTGTTCCAGCGGGTAAGGCGCGTAAAGTGTCGGTAGATAGGCGTACTGCGGCGTAGGGCGGGCGAGTGGGGTCGGCGCTGGCTCAAGACGAGCCCGGCAAGCTTCTAAGTATTCCAGTTGCTGTTGCGACCATTCACGGGGTTCTACTTTTACCGCTGTAGCAGCTACAGGCGATGACGCCTTGCTTGGATAGTTGCCAGTCTTAGAGAGATCTTCTGGTTTTGTGCTAAGATTCTGGGGTTCTTCATTTTCGGTATCACCTGTGGATAAAAATAAATCTCTATTAAAATATGTACATTACCGACTCAACTGAAATAAATTAATATTACACTTGACTATACTAGATATTTAGTTAATTTTATGCATTTATTTTTTTAAATATGACTTTTACTCAGATAATACTCCAATTTTGTAAAACGCTAGAGCTCATTTCATTCTCTTTTCCATCATTTTATATTTAGCTATATTGTTGGAAAATGTATTGAATAAACTTGTGAAATCAATACTATTAAAGTTTATATAAATTTATCTTCTACATCATGATAAATATAATTTCGGAGTACTTACAGTGATAATCATAGTAAAGTCGCGTTGCCATGTGGGCGGGGTGAGGCGGCGTTGTGGGCGGTGTCGCCGGCCGCTCCTCCCGCACCAGCACCGGTCGCTTCTTCAGCGGGCAATGCGCATACTTCTTGGTCATCAACGCACGAGTTGCCTGCGAATCCTCCACAAGCATCTTGCACTGATTTCACAAACACTTAACAAAAAAGTTCGTTTGAGTAAGAGCGTATGTTGTCACAAGTTCACAAATTTTTATAACAGTCCAAACATCGCAATGCTGCGCCGGAGTAAGCGGAGTCGTATTGTAAATGCGACAGTCGTTAACGTGCACTAGTCTGCGTCCGAAGTTGGAGTGGTGCGGCGAGGGAAGGCTGCGAGCTTATATGGGCTCCCCGTCAGCGGCGAGCCAGGTGGCGGCGGGTAGTCCTCGCACGTGCGCGGTGCCCAATCGGCGGAGGGCGCGGGGCTCCGGCCAATGGCGGCGCGGCGGCGGCGCGGGGCGGCGGCGGCACCTGCGCCTCCGCACCCGGCAGCGCTGCAGTTTCACAGTGCGATATGCCCAGCTTCAGTACCGCACCGGCTGGAACCGTCTCAGCAAAACGATTTTTTGCGCAAGTCTTGGGGTTAAGCACCTTTGAACCGAGCCATTGCGCCTTTTTGAAACGGTCCCATATCATTGTTCAGTCGCATTTATTGTATTTTTAAGACTTTGTCGGAATCAGCAGCTGCAGACATTTATAATAAAACATTTTGCCTTCCATCTGAAAATTATAACATTTTATCAGTAATCTGAATAAATGTAGAAAGTGAACATTTAAGAATATTTTTTCATGAACAAAATTGATTTTTCATTTATATATGATTAATTCTTATTTTTATTATAGTTTATTATATTTAAGAATATTAATTTATTTTTTCGCTCCAATCTCTTTGATATTAATATCTTTGTTATCTGTAGTAATATTAAGATTTAAGACCACTATATATCATGTGGTACGTAAAGTTATACTTATTGGGAAATAATAATTATGTTTTAAACATTATTTATTAACTCATTACTTTTCGATTACATACGTCAGGTAACTACTTCCTTATGTTTGCAAATAATATTAAACTAAATACTATCTACCTATTAATTAATTTATATTTATCACTATTTACGTCGGTACTAGTTAACTAAAACAGTAGGTTAGTACCTACAGTTCAGAGGTACAGTATAAAAAAGAGTTAAAGTTGGCATACGCAATGACCCACATATCAAGAAAGGCATGTTATATGAAACTTATGATGACACATGTACCTTTTTAAGATATGTTTTATTTAAAGAATGAGAGTGTATCATACTGATACATATTATACCTAACTACCAACTTTGAGTGACCTTGCCCTCCTTTAGTCGTTTACAACAAAGGAAGACATGTCTTCCTTTTATGCTAATGATCACGATCTTAATCGATGTATTCGTATATAAAGAAATAATTGAATAAGCATGGATACCCTAACTCAACTATTACCGAACTTTTTTCAATGGGTGATAATGGAATGATAACCCCCGCCTGTGCAATCTGTATTTATACACAGCCAGTGTATACAGATAGGTGACGATGAAGTAGGCCAGTTAGCCCATCGTGACGAATTCTGCAAGAAAATGTTCACGATGATTTCCAGGGGAAACCACGTGGAGGTCGACCTAATAGGACATATTGCTAGCAATGGGGCTGTCAAACCCCATTACTAAAAATCCCTTTCCCCCCACTATTATCGTACTTACCGAATTACTTAGGTAGAGTCTATCTACCTACATATTTATTATCTCGTGTGATCTATCTAATAAATATTAGGTACCTATAACTAAAGTCACAAAAACAAGTAATGGAATTTTTAATGTCAGTATATATACGTATAATGTAATAGTATTGAATGATTAAATGTTAATAAGTTAAGATTTATAATAACATTGATAATATCGCAAGCTTGCGATTTATCGTACAATAAGCAAACGCAGTATTAGCATTTGAGTTTTACGAAGCATTTACGTGTTACTAAACAACCTGCTGGTACAATGAATGGTTAAGTACTTTTCCATATTTGTCATCCAAAATATGTATATGTACCCAATACATAAGTGTATAGTATAATACATGAATTTCTTTTATTCTAAAACTAGTTGTAGTCGTAATAAAAATTTTAGAATATTGGTTCTAAAATATTTATTTACGCCAAAGTATTTATTTGAATATATATTTTTTAATAACTTGCATTGGTCACTAATAGAACACACCTAATTTGAACTCTAGTTCATAAAGTTTTAAATGATTATACATTTGGTTATTAATTATTACAATATTAATAACATTATTTCTTAAGAGATATTTAAAGGACCAAACAAATATTATGTATTAAACTACAAAGCTAATACTTGTAAATAATAAACAAGTTATTTTTAGAAAGAAATTATAATTTTATACCTACATGAAAAATATTGCTATCAGGTTTGAATTTTAACATTTAGATTGTAGTTATTTTGAATAAGTAGGTGTTTACAACATTACAAGCGTCGAAGTTATCAGTTCAAGAGTCCCACACTCCAATGAGGGATAATAAAGATACCTAACGTGTAATAATAATATAATCTACCCGGAAATTGTGGGAACTCTGTTACTACAAGTTGACAATGAGATTTCCTTGTGTGTGTCAAACCAAACAAGATACGCAACCCCTTCCTAACGCGGAAATATAACGTCTATAAGTTCTTTGTTATATTTTATGCGACCAGTGTCATTCCCACAGGTCAGGCCGTTCCCTGGGTAATTTGGGAATTCATACAGAAACTTGTTCACTTACATATGTGTTGTCCTACTCGTATTAAGATGTTGCGGATTTTTTTGTACATTAAACTTTGCCTAGAATAATTAAATATCTACTATAAAAACTATTACGATATGATATTTAAACAATATATGTATATACACATATATATCCTTATTTTAAATAATTGTAATATGGAGGTATATAAACATCCGTGCGATATCTACTTTTATTAATATTGTAGACATTAAGTGTGAGATAAAAAGTATACTTTTTTTTTATACAACTTAGAATGGCAAACAAGTTGACTTATATTGCTTCGTAAAATGAATCAACTTCAATCGTGAACACGATTATGAATAAACGACGAATTTTTTTATAAATACCCTACAGTTATATTTTTCATAGTAGGGTATCTACCTACCAGTAAGTATATTGTAAATATTCTGTGTGTGTTATATATAGATTTTACTTTGTAAAAAGAAGGTTTTCGCTCTGTAACTAATTTATTTCTTTATATTACTTGAAAACAGTGAAGAAGTGAGATACTTGTCGTAGATTGATTGTCATGAACAAATATTTTTCTTGGAATAGACGTGAGTAATTTAAATCAGTGAAATCACGAAGTAAGCAGGTACTGTCTTAGTGAATGTAGTTATCGGGTGTTTTGCAAATCATATATAACCTATACCTAATCAGCAAGTTCAATGTTCATATTATGGTGCAGCTACAACAAACAGAACGATGATGATGTATGGTGAAACTCAACTCGTGACTCAGCCTGCAAATGTGTCAAGAGATCGACATTTAATGGACATCAATTGCTCGATTATATTTAATACGCACAAGTGTGACTAATCGACTTGATCGATGGTCAATAATAAAATCAAATTACAGTATGAACTCTCTTGATTATCTTGTTCTTTCATCCTTCAACATAGACATTCAATAGGTAATGAAATACCGGAGTTAATAAACAATGTGTCAGTCATTACCTAATTACTCGACAGTTTATGAATGAAGTTGTTATCTTTGGACACTTGGGAACTGTAAATAAATCGTGGAAGACGGTTAGCAAATACTACACTAAATAAATGCCTTTATCACTTGAATGACATATTGATAATAGGCAGTACTTAGGAACTTATCTTATTATCGTAGTATCATAAAAACATTTGTCAATAGTAATTAGAAATTTATTACAGTATAAATTCATTAATAAGTTACAAATAATCTGTAATTAATTTTGTTTTGAAGCTTAAAAACTTTATTTGAGCTAATAATATTCAACACATGATTTTTATTCTGAGTAATTATTGGGTGTAACTTTTGATTAGTTAAATATTTATAATAAAAAACTCCTAATATTACTAAGACGGTTAGTTTTTTTGCATTTTTATAATATACAGACAAATTTTTTTTTTTTCAATAATTTTAATTCCATAACTCTAAATATCTCTCTGTGTAAAGAAATTGATCATCGGCTCTGATGTCGACAAACTGCTACTAGATATTGCAAATTCTTAAAATTAGATTAATAATGTACAGAAAACTATTAGTTTTCTAGTACACAAAATAAAAACTCTGCTTAGATTGCATCTAGATGGCGCTTTTTTATATGTCAAGTGACATTTATTTAAATTTTACACAGCATTTTAAAGCATTATTTTAGTAAAGTCATCTTTTTCTGAATATGTAGTTTTCATGTCAAATAAAGCTATTCAGACAAACATGTAACATCTTTGTTGTAACGTACTGTAATAGAATGGTGAATAGTGTTGACACAATGTGTGATAGTGTCATCTGCGCATCAATGTTATCACGGGGTTGGAGAGGGGCGGCTGCGGGGCGGCCAGGTGTAGAGCATCGCGAGACTGGGGGCGCGTGCGTAACGGTCGCGGCACGAGCGGCGGCCGCTTCGGGGACGTGCGCTATGGCGGAAATAGCGATGGACAGGGGCGCCCGGGCGCCCGCCAGCCGCGAGCAGGTGGTGCGCCGCTGCTACTGTGATGCTGAATGTCGCGCACAATTGGCGGTTAATTTGCCGCATATATTACCAGTGTGTGCATAATTAAGTAATATGACATGTATATTATAATATAAGTAGAGTCCCAGCATAAAAATACTGGTATTTTTAGTATATACAGATAGATTTGTTCTAATGGACGGTTACACTGATACAATTTATTATTTTAAGCTTTATATTAATATAGCTTATAATACTGGAGTTAAGTAAAATTTTAATTATGTTTTCATTTTGAGGTAAACTTCTACTAAAATATAATTTTCTGAAATTTACAAGAGAACGTGAGATAATTGCGTACAGAAGTACGAAGTAGCGATAAATAAATAATCTTACTAATGTAATATAATTGTAACTTGACCATGTCTGTACATTTCAGATATTTAAGAAAAATTGTTGTGAGGGATCTTTATACATAACTAGTGCTCGCCCAGTGGTTGAAATTCTACCGTAATTATTTTTATAAGTTTGAACATTATTAAGGTGCTACTGTCAAAGACCATACTATACATATATAATGT